TAACATCTTAACCATTTTTAAGTATAAAGTTGAGGAGTGTTAAGTATATTTGCTTTGCTTTGCAACAGATCACTAGAACTTTCTCATCTTGAACTCTATACCCATTAAATACTAATTTCCTTACCTCTCTCCTCATAGCCCATGGCAACCACCTCTCTACTTTTTATTTCTTTTATTTTGACTATATTAGATACTTCATATGGACAGAATCATGCAGTATTTGTCCTTTGTGACTGGCTCATTTTGCTTAGCATACCATCCTTTAGGTCCATCCATGTTGCAGCACATGACAGGATTTCCTTCTCTTTTAAGGCTTCATAATATTCCATTGTATGTATGTACCACATTTTCTTTATCTATTTATCTGTTTATGGACATTTGGGTTGCTTCTACCTCTTGGCTATTGTGAATGCTGCAATGAATATGCGTGTGCAAATATCTCTTCGAGATCCTACTTTGAAAGATTGTTTTTAATGATGATCTTTCCATAAAATGAACCAAAAGAATTAAGAAAATTCAATTATCAAAAATATACTAGAAAAATTGAATTTACTTAAGTAGGTTAAAGACAAATATCTTTTGAGAATATGAGTGAATTTCATGGAAATTTAAAGCTCAGACTTGTTTATAAGCTATATAAAATTTTTTTAAAAAGGAAGAAATGAAAAAGAGGCCAAACTCCTCTAATTAATATACCAAAACTGATATTTAACTTCAAAATAATTTATAAGGAATGATACGCCCACAAATATCTATACTATCACATAAATAAAACCAAGTCAAAATCCTGCCTGGGTAGAAATATTTTATCTGAAATGAGCTTTCAATAAGCATGATCAAACATGATCTATGAGCAAGTATCTGTTCATGCTGTATTTTGAAAAGCTGTAGTAGTTTTATATTTACCCCTGTGTCAAACATACCATGTGATTAATACTGGGTGAGTTTAGCATAGTAATTATTTGGCAATAAACGCAGCTTGTCTGATTTGCTCTAATAGCTCATAAGATGAATATCCTCTGAAAAATGATTATATTAGATAAACTAACAGAAAATAAATTTCATTAAAAAGCAACAATATTGAGACAATATATACACAGACAAATGTTTAAAGCTATATACTCTACTAAAACTTATCCACACACACATCAGAAATCAGCATCACTGATCTAAATATTAACAGTTTAGCACAAATACTTCTCAAAATCAAGTCAATTATTTTTCAAGAAAGCTTTCTAAATGCATATCTACCTTAATATGCCTGTTGGTAGAATTTATTCCATTAAAATAAACAGCACAGAAATAAAATAAAATTTTCAAGACTTCTAGAACCTATGGTAAAAATGTTAAATGAAGAAATAAAGAAAGTGGCACAGATCAGCTAACAGAATAAATTTTAGACCTAAGCCTTACTAGAATTTGCTCTGTGACCTTGAGCAAGTTATATAACCTCTGTGCACCATCCACCTTCATAAGTGAAATAGGCTCTTCATACAAGCTAATACCAAGGGGTGAGAGCCATGTTGGAAACCAATTTAGAAAAAAATTAAGTTAGATCTCTACCTCACACCGTACACAAAAATGAGTATCAGTTCAATTAAAGGTCTAAGTGTGAAAAATAAAGCAGAAAAACTAATGGTATTCCATCATGTTAGGGTAGGAAAGACTTCTCTAGGCAAGCACAAAACACAGACACCATAGAGGCTGATTTTACAACATAAAAATTTAAATGGTTTATTAGTATGACAGATACCCCCATGTTAAAACATACAGCCTGGGTGGAAATATTTAAAACATCTCAAAAGACAGGTTAACACCTATACTTTATAAGTCTCCTACAAAGCTATCAAAACAAATAATCCAATCAAAATGAAATAATATATAAAGAGGTGATACATGAAATAAAAATCAATGGCCAATAAACTAGCAAAAGATATTACATTTATTAGTAAGCAGAAGTATAAATTAAAACAATAAAATATTAGAGTGGCAAAAATTCAAAGATAAATAATTTTACTGTCATCAATGGTGTGGAGGAATGGGCACTCTCATTCACTGTTGATGGAAATGAAATCTTTTGAAAGGAACTTTGATAGCAGCTACCTCCTTATTAAAAAAATACATGCCCATGAGCCAAATAGCTCCATATCTAGAAATCTATTCTACAGAAATACAACTATGCATAAAGAATGAGAATGTTCAATAAAGTATTATTTGTAATAATCAAATAAGTGGAGGCCACCAAAATATTTATTGGAGAAGAATGACTATAGTATATCAGTTCAAGAGAATGCTTTGCATATATTTAAAAGAATGAACAGGGGAGGGTATAGCTCAAGTGGCATAGCACATGCTTAGCATGCATGAGGTCCTGGGTTCAATCCCCAGTACCTCCTCTAAAAA